TATCTCTAAATTCTGTTTATAAAACTATTTTTTAAGCTCTAACAAAAAAATTCTTTGCAAAATTTTGTATATATTAAGCTTTATCTAATTATTAACTCTAATCTTGACCCTAATTCTAATTCTAATTTAACTAATTTTTTATATATATATTATTTATATAGATTTACAAATTATATTTATATAAATATGATAAATTAGTATATTGCAGAGTATTATATATATATTTATTCTATAAATAAAATATATTTTATATTAATATTATTATATTTACTATATTTAAATTTTTGTATTTATATTTATATTTAAATATTTATAGTATCTACAATTATTTAAAATATATTTAAATTTTCAAATTTAATAAATTAATTTAAAAAATATAATTATTTATATTTTATTTATATTTTATTTAAAAAATTAAAATAGATTATTTTAATAAAATTTTAAGTAATTTAAATTTGGTTTTTGTTTAAAATTAGGAAACACCTATTTTTACCATGGGTATTTGCTATTTCTACTATGCTGTTATACTTTCCATATGACTTTTGGCTATATAAACATGATAAGCATATTATTGTCATATTGTGGAAATGTTATACGTCATTCTCAATTTATGTTAATTTGAAAATAACATACATTTTAAGGAACTACTATAAAATTATACTTATGTAGCTGAATCTTATATAAAAAGCATGGTGAAAATAGCAAATTTTCATAGTAGAAATAGGCGTTCCCTAAAATTATTTTAATTATTTATAATTTATTTAAAATTATTTTATAATAATATTAGAAATATAACAAAAATTATGTGATTTTTTAGAAGAAAAGGGGTAAAAAATTTAAAATTATAGGGTGTAGTGATATAGAGAAGTGGTTAAGTTGTCACCCCAAGCGGCAGATCTAGAGTTTGATTCCTACCAGAGATGTTTTTTGAAAAATAAAGCCTGTGTTATAGTAATATTTATTCGATGATTGGTTAAGTATATTACCTGTAACCTTGGTACCACCATTTTGCATAGAAGCTCTAGAGTGATCCAAAATCCAAGGAACTAGAATAATTAAAACCTGTTTGGCAAGACCTGAGCTAGGAGTAGTGAAGATTTTTAACAATATTACGAAAAATCAATATCGGAAACCGAAGAACTAGATGAACAACTCTGAGAAAAGAAGGGTCTACCAACCTAGCCACCAGAGTCACACCAGAGAAAAAGGTTTGATACTACAGAATTTGAAACTAAGGGAGGTAAAATCAGAAAGCACTTAGAGCCTAGATACAACAATTCATCTGGGCTTACTAATTTGGTAGTTTGGGAGAGATTGGTATAAGGGTTGGTTGAAAGTAAATATTAGGATCAAAAGAAACCTTGTAAAGGGCAGAGAGTAGATTATGGTAGCGGGAATAGAAACTGCAAGTTCCAGTCCTCAGATTGGGGTGTAAATTTCTGAAAAAACCAGGTGATACATATGTGAAATATAGACTGCTCTGGTAGGTTTACCATAAAGATAAAGTAGTTCTAAGGGGCCTTAGTGGCAGGAATTCTTCTGAAAAAAGTATCTGATAGTGCTAAGTCGATCAGAAGGTTTAAATAGGAGATCCACAAACAGATCTTAGGTATGACAATTGGTAGGTAACTATAGATAGAAATAGATATAGCAGAGCTCTTAAATAGGCAATGACTAAAGTTGTACGTATAGCCAATTGTACTCTTGTTAATATAACAAAGTTAAGAGGTGCCTATTCGGTATCTTGATAATTGACCTGTGAAGTTAATAAACTGTGCCAGACTCCAAAGTGGTTATCTTAACAAAAACATTGATATTGACCTATTTGGACCATCGTTATTGATCTACCAAAAAATTTGTATATTGTTATTGACCAGAACTGCAATAATAATAAATAAATAAAAAAAAAAAAAAAAAAAAAAAAAAAAAAAATATATGGATATACAATATTGTTGTTATTTGAGCTTTTTAATTGATACTTTAAAGCAAAAATTAAAACTATCGCTATAATTTATTTATATATTTTAATATAATCAGCTTTACAAGCAGCTATTTGCTTTATCTTATTTTTTTTTCCATTGAACCATGTAAACAACCTTTTCATATTCAATTCTACATTATTATTTAAATGGATATTTTTCTCAATACAGGCTTTTACAAAATCTTGTCTTTTTTAATCAGCTTGTTTTTCTGAAAAAAGGTTTTCAAGTTCACGTCGTATAGTAACTTTAGATAAAGATGAGTTGACGATTTTATTATTCTGCTTAAACTATTTAAAATATAGTTAATATTTTGCTAATTCGGAATTATTATATAATTTATTTAGACTTACTTGTTTGTTAGAATTACATCTATGGCTTCTAATTGCTGCAGTTCTTCGTTTCTGAACCGATGATGGCAATGGACTTAAAACTGATACTTCTGTATTTGTAGCATTAATTAGAGAAGCTTCGTTGATTTCTTCGATATCAACATCATCGATTTCATCAATTCTTTTAACTTCAACTTGCTCCGGGTCTGCTGCTACTAATAACTCTGTTTCATTATCAACTAATATTAAGTTTTTATTATCAACATCATTTTTAAAATTTATAAAATAAGTAATTAACAACTATATATTGTTAATCGAATATACCTTGTATAAAATAGATTTACAATACTTGCCTCCTTATCGTTATTAGTTGTTAATTCATTTAAAAAATGACTAGGCTTTCTTGGC